GCTAATGTAACTCCTCTTTTCAAGAAAGGTGTTAAAATTGTCCCAGCAATTAGAGACCCATTAGTCTTACATCAGTTGTGGAAACGTTTTGGAAAGTCTGTTAAAAGATGCTTTACAAAGTCATTTAACAAAGTTTAGAATTTTATTGGATGGTCAACATGGTTTCACTAAAGGAAAATATTGCCTTACAAATATTTTAACATTCTTTGAAAAGTTTACTGCTTATGTAGATGAAGGTAAGAGTGTAGATTTGGTGTATCTGGATGTTTAGAAAGCATTTGACAGGGTGCCACATAAAAGACTTGTAAAAAAATTAGCTCTATGGGTGAGGGGGGATAAGTTAGCAAATTGGATAGAAGAAAGCAGAGGGTTGTTACAAATGGAGTTCAGTCAAACTGTATTCATGTCACAAGTGGGATACCTCAGGGTTCAGTCTTAGGACCTTTGCTCTTTTTGATTTACATCAATGACATTGAAGAAGAAATAGTCAATAAAGTACTTAAATTTGCATATGATATTAAGGTCTTGGATATTGCTAGCTGTGAAAAGGATACTGTTGATTTACAAAAGGATTTAGATCATTTAGTGAGTTGGGCAAATAAATGGCAAATGGGTTTTAATTATAATATATGCAAGATAATGCGTGTGGGTTATCATAATTTGAATTATAAGTATAATTTGGATGGGAATAACCTTAACAGTGTTATGAAGTAAAGGGATCTTGGTGTAATGGTCGATCAGTCTCTAAAGCTATCCAAGCATTGTGCTGTTGCTAGTGGTAGGGCAAATAGGATTTTAGATTGTATTTACAGAAATATCGAATACAAGTCTAAAGAGGTTATAATTTCAATGTACAGGTCACTGATTAGGCAACATTTGGAATATTGTGTTCAGTCTTGAGGTTCTTACCTAAGGAAAGACATTGAATTGTTGGAAAGGGTTCAGAGAAGAGTTACTAGAATGGTGCCTGGGATTGAGGGTTTGTCATATGAGGAGAGATTCAGATCTTTGAAATTGTGTTCTCTTGAAGAAAAAGAAGAGTTAGGGGGGATCTGTTTCATATTTAACAGTGAAAATAGTAGGGCTAGGGGACACAAATATAAATTTTGGCAAGGTAGGAGTCATTTTCAGCTAAGACAGTGTCATTTTTCTAGCAGGATGGTTGGCCTTTGGAATGGGTTGCCTTCAGATGTTGTAGAGGCAGTAAATTTAAGTGAGTTTGAGAAAAAGCTTGATAAGTATACAAATGATAATGGCTGGCTTTAAGATTTTTTTTTGATTTTTTAAATTTAGTTTAGATGGAACAGCCAAGACAGAACAATAGGTCTCATGTTGTCCCAAAATGTTATGTTATGTTACAAGAACAAAAGTATTTTTTAGCTTTCACATGAACATAACCTTGCACTCCGACTTTTCATAGTCTAAATCAAATTTATATCATCAGTTCTCAGACATATCTTGAGTACAAATACTTTTGTAACACATTTAATTTTATGTGTACATCAGACTTTTACATTTTAATCAAAGCTTGCTATATTTCGTTTAGATACACATAGTAAATTCAGAATTATTGCCAACAATTTATCTCCATTACAGAGTCAGTCCAGTAGACCATGCCTGTGCATATTTGATTAAATACTTTTTTTAGTTTTGTGCAGTCTTGTTAAGCAGGGCTGTCAGTTTTCTGATCATTTTAATTAACTTTTTAAATATAGATGACATTGTTATAAATATTAAAGGCTTTTTGGCTTATTGCTGGTTCTGTCTGCTGCATTGAACTGTCCCCCTGGTGACAGACAGAAGATCAGTTTTGACTAAACATGTTTCAACTGTGATTCTTTAAACATATTTAAAAAGTTATAATACCTTAGTAATAAACAAAAAACTTTCTTTATATGTTCTGACCTCCTAAGGTGCAGGTGTTTTTTTTTATATTTACAGAATTATAAACACAATATGAAAATATCACTTAAGTAAACCCATGAACTATGGGTTCTCTGATATATGTTGTGCCATATTTTTTCATGTCCAAATTTTTTATATCATTTTGTAAGTCAGTGGTTTGATTAGTTCATATTTATAAACAGATATCTCATCATGAATTTAAAATAAATGAAATTAATAACAATGTAGTCCTAAGCTAGAAAATAATTTAATAAATCCAAATATTTTGCAAAGTTGATCTTCAGACATAATTTACAGATGAAAAAAAAAGAATCTACAAAGTATTTGTATATGCTATATATTTACATAAAAACTTCAGTGCTTAGTATCTGACCAATATAGACAGTAGTGTGTTACTGATATGTTGATCTTGTATAATAATCATGTAACTTAGTTGCAGTAATTCTCTATGACAAGCCAGCCTTTATTTAAATAAGGAAATCAAACGTTTATGTGTTCTTTGTTCTTTTAAGTAGAACTTACTCTACTGAAGATGAATATTCTTATTCTCAATCAACTTTTTTCCAAGAAACATTTCATTCATAAAAAAATATTAACTTGAGTTATGTTTCTGGATAATTAACCATGTATAAAGTTAGCTAAGATAATGAAATTTAGTACAGTAGAATTTGCTAATACGATTTTTTTTTTCTTATGACATGCCAACTTGAATTAAGAAACAATTTTATCTTACTGTTTTATTTTAATTCTTGCAAAAATATAGTATTAAAACTTTTTCACAAATTTGAACAATCCACTCCATAAAATTAGTATGTGAAAAATACATTTCAATTGTTTGTTCTTGGCAATTAAACTTTTATATGTAGTTAGGATATAATGTAGAGTTAACCAGTTTGAATCCTCTTTACTTATAGAATAATTCTATAATCCTCAAATATAGAATTTGCATCAAAATAACACTTGATAGTAGAGTTATGATAAAGTGAGTGTGTTTTTGTGTAAGTGTTTTGAGATTTATTTGTAATTTGAACATTATGAAATTGTTCTTGCAGTTTAGGTGGCGATGTTAATTATTTTGCCAGCACTTATCCTCTAAGATCCTTACTAATGGCATTAGTTTTTTATTGGTCACCAAGTGGTGCTATTGAAAGCTAGCTATAACTTGTTGTATACAATATTTGATTAGATTATTTTGATTATACATTGGTACGGATAAATCATTGCAGAACTTCTGTGTTCCTATACCTTAGAACTTAGCAATATGACTTGGCATGAGGATAGGAGCTGGCTTCACTTCAATTTTTTTTAAATCTAATTTTGACAGTTGTATTTTATTAACTGGCTCTTTATATTGCATGTTGGATTTGGTGAGCTGACTTGTAATTGTTGCTATTTTATTTTTGATTTCTCTTCATCATCTTGCTGCTTGCTGTTTCATGTGCTACCACCTACTGTCTACCCCTGGCACCTGCCAATCATCATCAACTGCTCTGCATACTAATTAGCCACATGTGATCGAGACCTTGATCAGCAAGAAGCGCCTGCGTGACCCTTCTGATGATCTGATTCTGGTATTGGCCCTTAGTGCTTTTGCATGTAGCTCAGACTTCTTAATTTTGGCAGTAGAGGGCGTAGTGCAGTGTCTTACCACTTTACAGATCATGCTAAGGGGCATACCAAGTGGGAAATTTGAGGCTTATGGTTGAAGTTTGAGCTTAGGCAACATACTAATTTGGATGGCATGAAGAGCATGGAATCATAGTATGTTATGCTGTACTGCTATTAATTTTTATTTCTTCAATAATTTTATGGCAAGTTGTACATGCATGGTATTTTTTATTTAAAAACGTTGATTACTGATTAAGATATTGAAATTGGCATGTAAGTGCAACTTCTGTTTTCATAAAAGCTTCTAGCTTTGATTTTCATGAAACTATATAATAGACTAATCCCAGTCTTCATCACTAATTCATTTAAGCTTTCTTTTATATATATGTTACTGGCTTTTCCACTTTCCTACTTTTAGTGGTGTTGCTGTATTTTGTAAACCTGTAGAATGACCAGAAAAATTCAACATATTTATAACAACGGCAAAAATTATGAGGCTTGCAGTTTGGAAGGTATGAGAAATAATAATTTCTTAAATAGTTATGAAAATTCAAGTCAAGAAAATTCACTTGCCCTTCAACTTATAAAGATTTCATGCACCATTAAAAATGTTGCTTTCTGCTCAAATTTCTGCTCAGAGTGAATGCTGAATATGACTCTTTTGTGTTTTTGTTCCTTTAGCTAGATGAAAATAATAACCTTTTGGATACCAAAATCTTCTTCTTACATTAGATTATAACTTTTTTTTTATAGACACACATTAAATTTATTACCAGGCAATAGTTGGTCAGCATAATACTTAAACCAAACCAATGAGGTTGCTTCAAGATTGTTCAGTAATAGGAGGGAGTTGTGCAGCATCAGACCAAAAGTGGGAAAAAGACTTATCATTTTGAACTAATCTGAAACCAACTGATTGTTAAGTCAAGCTCTTGAGAAATGAATATTGCACAGAATTCTCTGTTCTTGTATAGAAATGCACCCTTTCATCTCTCTCATTTTTTCTTTAATATCTCACTCTGCCTTGAGGTAATAAATTCAGTATATTAGTATTTTTATTATATTGATTTTTTTAAATTAATAACCTAATAAATGTTACTGGAAAATGAGAATGTAAAAATTTTATATTGATGTTAACTATTTATAGGCTAAACATTTTGGTGTGCATTAGAAGTACTATTTTAAAGAAATAAAGCTGGTGTACTAGGCTATGTATTCTACTGACCTTTGTTTTAATAAGTTGCTCATAGGCTAATTAATTATAATTGTAAGAAAATTTATAATTATAAAAACTGAACTAATAGTGTTTTCTTGTAAAATTGTTGTTGTTATCCAAATGCTAACAATACTGTTATTTATGGCAAATGTTTATTTGATATACTGGAGAAGTAGATACAATAAAATCAGCAGCAATGAGCTTGTAAGGGTCTCAGAAAAGGGCTGAACATGTTGAAATTAAAGAACTGGTTATATGGATCATATAGAAAACAGTACACAGCCAAATATTTGGTTTATTAAAAGCAAAACAATTTTCAAAAGTTATGACAAATTTTATGTATACTGTTTAATGATATGCTAAATGTGTAATTCACTAAATCAAACCAAATTGAAATATCAGAAATTTTTATTTCACTGTACTAAAACCAAGTATTGTTTTTAATTAACTAATTATATACTGAATTGAAGTATTTCATTAATTTATGGAAGAGGTGATTGTACCACCTCATAGAAATCTAGTGTCAACAATCACGATTATAAATGTATAAATGTTTAGTTCAAACCTTAAATTGTGCTTGTCATATTTTTTTTTTAGAACTATTTACAAGGGATCTAGTATTTAAAGCCAACACCAGAGTCATAGCTCTTATTTTCAAACTAATAATTTAATATATTGTGTTTTTGAACAACTTATTATTATTTTATTGTTATAAATTTAGGTAACTTCCTGTTTTGTCTTACTCTGAACTATTGGTGGTATGAAATTCAATATAGTTCAAACTTCAGTATTAGTCCACCTTGCTAATGTATTTAACTGTTGTTAAAATTTGTTCCTATTTCTGCAGATAACCAAAAATAAAGAACAAAGCTATTTAACAACTGAAATTTTTTGTGATATAAAAATTAATTATTATATGTTTAAAAAAGCTTAAATATATAGTATGTATATTAATTCCAATATATAATACATATGTGTAAATTTCTTAATATTTATGACTTATGAAAATTTAAATAAAAGATAAAATGTAATTGTCTCAGTATATGAATGTTTAATGAAGTATAGTAATCTAAATTTGATCTATGTTTTTGTCATTTTAGCTTTGGAAACACTGCAAACTTTGAGAAACACTACTTTTAATTTTTGTAGTTTGCTAACTAAATTAAAACATTTTGTGAAAATGTTTACAGTAAATTTTTGTAAAAAACATTTCACAGTGAAATATGGGCTTAATAATATACCAAAGATTCAATTCACTTAATGAAACCAAACATTTTAATTTTTTACTGATTCAAACTGAATATTATGATATTTAATTTAGTCAAACTGAAAACTAAATATTCCTATCACTTATTAAAAAAATAGGGAAAAACATTTTCCTAGCCTAGAACTGATAATTATTAAGAAAATGGAAGACATAAAACAAAAAGACAAATTTTGTTAATAGCTGGGGAAGTAAACTTGTCTATAATTATGAAGTATGCAAAGCAGATTTTGTTTGTAGCTGTTAGAAGTTGAATAAGAAGATTTTATTAACAGCTGTAAGAACTTGTAATAGTGAGGTAACTGAAGAGATAAACTTTTTTCTATAAATGTAAGCTGTACAAGTGAGAGAAAGATAATTACTTACATTTGATAAGAAAAGGGGAATTCAAGCAAATAGCTCAACAACAAATTTTATTCAGACAACTATTAAACAACTGAATATTTTTAGAATTAACATCAGTTTGTTAATAACAGTACAACTTGTATTATCATTAAACAATATTTTATGAAATGAATGCTTATGTAACTTTGAACAAAGTTATCAAATCCTAACATACAACTTTGATGGAAAACAATTATCATTATGTTGGATTGTACAACATTTTGGTGTAAGTTAATTATTACTTGAAGAATTTAATCATCATACACACCTATGCATCACCCTGATGCTTAAACGTTATTATGTTAATGCATATTCAAAGTTTTATACTACTTTAATGGAAGACAGATATAATATTAATATATATATAATGAATGGTTATTTATTATACATATGAACCAAATATATTGTGAAGTCTGTGCTATGTCAAATCCATGCTATTATTTCAGCTAATATTGGTGCAACCCAGTATTAGGTTGGAATCATAATAAAGTGGCCAGTTGGGGTACTGCTAGGCAAATTCTAAAACACCACTTTTATCTAAAACTATTATTATTATGGTAGTGCATATTCAAACAAATCCATACATCAGCTTAGTGGATAAGTTTTTATGTTAGTATAGAATCAATTGAATATTTACATATCAGTTTAGTAAACAGTTAGTATTATAATTTTTGACTATTTAAAAAAGTACTGCTTACCTATATTTATAAATATACAGAAAACTGTTAGAAATTAGTTAATGAGCTTTGAGTTGTAAATGCTTTGTTCGTTTGTAGTTAAGCACAAAGGTACACAATGGGCTATCTGTGCCCTCCCCACCAGAGGTATTGAAAACCGATTTCTAGTATTATAAGTCTGCAGACATATTGCTGTGATAAATGCTTTATAACTAAAAGAATATCCAAAACATTTTAGCACAAATTTTCAAGAATATCTCATAAATATTTGCCATTTACTAGCTTTCATTTACTTTAACTATAAATGTTTCTTTATCACAAATTTATAATCAACATCATTTTTGTGTTTGATTGAATCTATATTCATTTGTGAAAATAAATAATTTTCCATAATTTTTGGGTTTCTAATTAGTATGTTCCATATTTTTAAATTTTCTTACTTTTTCAAATTGCTTTGATGTTTTGGAAACACTTAATAAGTCTGTAGTTTAAGTTTGGTGACTAAAATTATAGGATATAGATTATAAGAACCTTAGTATACTTTAACTTTGTTACATTATTGGTTTCCATTGCAACTAGATCTAATGGAGATGCTGCTCTATTTAACTAAGTTTTGTGTGTAATTCTTAAAAAATAGAAAATTATAAAGGTTGCTTTGATAGATTCTATAGAACGTATTGAATTAGAGATTAACTTTTTAAAGTTTTTTCGTTTTGAGTTTCATGTATTAATTTTATTACTCTTAGTGAGTAATAAGCCTCTATAAGCTTATAATAAGTGACTGTTTTGTGTTATAGTTGACATGCTATTACATCCTGTGTAATCATTTCTTAAAATGTATAATGTTTATTTTGTTACCATTGAAATTTAAAGACATATATACATAGAGTACCAAAATAAATAAGTGAAAAGTGTCATTTATAAACTATCAGTGTTACTCACTCTATATAAACTTGTAGCTCATACGCCACCCCTCTTCTGTTAGGCCTTCCCAGGAATGATACCCTTTACAAAACGTCCAGTCTTGGACAAAAGTGGAATTCCAGTGTTTCAGCCCAGTGCAGCTTCAGCCTATCAACAAGCCTTGGCCATGCAGGTTCAGCAGCCGTTTGTGCCTGTTACATGTATCTATCAAAATTTTCTAATCTTTACACTTGTAATCAGGAGTAAAAGCTTGTATTTTGAATATTATTTTATGAAACTTCATAAATATTCATAATTTTACAGAATCTAATATCAAATGTGTGAAGTTTTAAAGCATTTTTTTTTGTTTATAAGAACTGCTATGAATAACATGTCAGTTCTATGATGATAGGTTTTAAATTTTTTTCAATTGTACAAATTACATGTCAGTTTTAACTTTATGGTACAAACTTGTGCAAACTTATGGGAAGCAATTTCTACATGCAATTACTTTTATTATAATAATAATGAAAATCTTGTTTAGCTTTTTTAATAAATTTAATTATATTCAGTTCATTACTAATCACTAAAAATCTAAACTGATATGTTTTTGTACTTTGAAAACATTCACTCTCAGTGAGAGCCTAGGTCCTTCTTACCATCACAGCTACAATGTATTCTCAAAACCAATGTGTTGATGTAATGCTTCAAAAGTTATTTAAACAATTATTAACTATCACTTAAAACAGTGCAAAAACAAGTTTAAAATAATTTTTTGTCCTGAGGATAAAAATAATTTGAAAATATTTAACTCACCTTGTAATGCTTAATATTGTTACGCCTCCAGTCGTCAGTTAATTTTCCGTAAATTCTTTCCAACTAAACTTTAGCGACACAAGTCCTTTCTTAAATAAAACTGGTTTATTCTTTCCGAATAAAACTTTACGATCCACTTAATTTCAACAGTCGCTCTATAACAAACGCTATAATTCACGTCACCAACAATATTCTGTCCGCATACATCCAATTACTCATTACCTCCCCGTCGCTTCGTGGCCGGTCTTATATATACAAGACTAACACACATCTACTAAACGCTAGGGCCTTCAAGAAGGAACAGGATATTTCTAGAAAGAGGTGGCGTGATACTAGTCACGTGACCTTGCTGACGCAACATTGCCCCCTCCTTAGTATTGTTCGTCCCAAACAATAGCCACTTACAATAAACCAATAACAATTAACAATAACTTAATTAAATGTACAGAATTACAAACACAAAATTACAATTCAACAAAGGCTCTTAATTTTACGGGGCATATCTTCTTCCGTACTGGTCTCCGTCTTGTTGGCTTCTGCTTCATATGGGGTTCTTCTGCTTCATCAGGAAATGTCCTATCGTCGGTAACAGTCACATCAGTGGTAGTAACTTCATCAAGAGCTTTACCATTTCTCTTCTCACTCAAACTGAGTAGAGTTTCTTCCTCAACATTGGCTTTTTCAGATGACACGTCTTCAGCAGCGTCATTTGTTCTGTTGTCCACTTCATCCCAACTGAAATGTCCTGGACCGTGATAACACCAAAGCCTGTTGGCATGCACCACTTTTGGGTTTCCTCGCTGACCACATTTTATCCGGAAAGTCACGTCTGAGAGACGATCCACTATGTCATATGGGCCTTCCCATGGAGAAGACAACTTAGGAGACTTCCCTTTGGTCTTCCTGGGATTATACAACCATACCTTGTCTCCAGGTACAAAGCTGACTTCAGTAGATCTCTTATCTTAAGTTAACTTCATCGAATCAGCAGACGTTTTCAATTTTTAACGCACTTGATGGTGAATATCATCCATCCTTTCCG